CTGATTTTTTTAATATGAACAAAAAGTGTCAGAAAAGGCTTGGTCTTCAGGTGGTTAGAAGAGTGAGTGATGTGTGGCATAAACTTCTAATGCTGGGCATAAAATGCCCCCACCCCCCAAAATTACCCCTTTTTGGAAAGCAGACACCCCAAACTATTTGCAGAGAGGCATGTTGAATCAATGGAAGAACTTATTTTTTTACCACAACTTTTTGGAAAATGACCAAAAAAAGTATATTTATTTAATTTCTTTTTTACACAAAATTGTCATTTAAATTATTTATTGCTCACACATGCCATGGTTATATGTGGAATTACTCCCCAAAATACATTCTGCTACTTCTCCTGAGTATGGGGGGTACCACATGTGAGATGTTTTGGCAGTCTAGCCAAGTACAGGACCCCAAAATCCAATAAGCACCTTCAGGCTTTTAAAGGGCTTTATTTCCTCATTACACTTCCTGACTACCTATCACAGTTTCGGAGGCCCTGAAATGCCAGGATAGCACCAAACACCCCCAAACGACCATTTTTGGAAAGCAGACACCCCAAGGAATTTGACAAGAAGCATGGTGAGTATTTTGCAGAAGTTTTTGGAATACGAAGAAAAAAAACAAAAACATTTTTTCTTTTCTTTTTTTATATTTCAAAACCTTGTGAGAAAAAAATGAGATCTGCAAAATACCATGCCTCTTTTTAAATTCCTTGGGGTGTCTACTTCCAAAAAGGCGTCATCTGGGGGGGGGGGGGGGTTTTTGGTGTATCCTGGCATTTCAGGGCCTTTGAAACTGTGATGGGTAGTGAGGAAGTGAAATGAGGAAGTTACGCCCCTTCAGGCTTTCAAAGTGGTCATTAGATTTCAGGCTCCTGTATGTGGCTAGGCTCCCAAAAAGTCTCACATGTGGTATCCCCAACTTGGTAGAAGAAGCAGAATGTATTTTGGGGTGTAATTCCACATATACCCATGGCTTGTGCGAGAAATATATCATTTAAAATGACAACTTTGAGTAAAAAAAAAAAAAATGTTTTTGTCATTTTCCAGAAACTTGAAAAAAAATAAATCTTCCAGGGACTCAATATGCCTCTCAGTGGATAACTTAGGGTGTCTACTTTCCAAAAAGGGGTCATTTGGGGGTATTTGTACTATCCTGGTATTTTAGCACCTCAAGAAATGTGATGAGCAGTCAGAAAGTAAAAGCTGTGTAAATTGCAGTACTGTATCTATACCATAGTTTGTAGATGCTATAACTTCCACACAAAGCAATCAATATACACTTATTGGGATTTTTTTTTTTACCAGAAACATGGAGCAGAATACATTTTGGCCTAAAATTTATTACTAACTGAGTTTACTTTATATTTTTTTATAGCCGAAAGTAAAAAAAATAGTTTTTCTTCAAAATTTTGGTCTTGTTTTTTGTTTATAGCGTGAAAAATAAAAAGCGCACAGGTGATCAAATACCACCAAAAGAAAGCTCTATTTGTGTGAAAAAAAGGACGTACATTTCATTTGGGTGCAGCATTACATGACCGCGTAATTATCAGTTGAATTAGTGCAGCACCGAGTAGAAAAAGAGGCCTGGTCATTAAGGGGGGTAAATCCTCTGGAGGGCAAGTGGTTAAATAGTGGGCCGGCAAGCTGGCCGCCATGTCCTTGACGACCGATGACTCATCTGCTGTTAATCGGGATTCCTGGCTGTCAGCAGAATGTAAACAAAACAAATGCCAGTTTAATAACAATGTAAAAAAAGAAACAGCGTGGGGGTCCCCCCATCCATACCAGGCCCTTCAGGTGTGCTATGGATTGTAAGGGGAACCCCACAATAAATTTAAAAACAAAAAAAAGGTGTGGGGTTCCCCCCCCTAAGATCTATACCTGACCTTTATCTGCGCATGAAGGCCAGAAAGGGGACAAGTGCCCTCCCTCCTGAACCATACCAGGCCACATGCCCTCAACATGGAAGAGTGCTTTGGGGCAAAGCACCTTGTCCCCATGTTGATGGGGGACAAGGGTCTCTTCTTCACAACTCGGGGGGGGGGGGCTTATCGGATTCTTGAAGCTCCATTTGATGAGAGGGCCCCCAGATCCCAGCCCCCCCATGTGAATAAGTAGGGTGTACATAGTACCCCCTACTCATTCTCCAAAAAAGTCAAAGTTAGCAAAAATAAACAGTTTTTCACCAGTCATTTATGTAAAGATTGAAAAAAAAAAAAAACTGTCATGCACAAAAAAAAAAGTCGCCAGCTGGATGCAAACTGGTCCTAAAATGGGGGTAGAGTCACCCCAGTGATTTCACCAGGTAACCTCTGCCCTATGTTTACCTGTCTATCGGCTATGTCCCTGGATAGGACCAGTCATGTTCTTGGTGGGCTTTTTTCATGCAGGTCATGTTTTATATTTTTTTTAATAAAAGGACTTGTCAAAAACTGTTTTTACTAACTGACTTTTTTTGGTGATTGAGTGGGGGTACTATGTAGCCCTACTCATTCACATGGGGGGACTAAGATCTGGGGGGTTCCCCTTGTTAAAGAGGGCTTCCAGATTCCAATATGCCCCTGGCTCACAGACCCCCACAACCACCTCCCAGAGTTGTAGGGAAGAGACCCTTGTCCCCATCAAGGACAAGGTGCTTTGGGTGGGGAGGGGGGCGGAGCTCCTCTGACCCAAGTGACTCCCCATGTTAAGAGCATGTGGCCTGGTATGGTTCAAGAGAAGAGTGCTGCTCGCTTATCCCCCCTTTCCTGGCCCAAAAGGGTCTGGTATGGATTTTTTGGGGACCCCATGTCATTTTATTTTACATTTTGGTATAGGGTACCAGACTCAAAGGGCTTAGTATGGATTGGGGGGACCCCCGTGCTGTTTTTTGTTTTTTTAAAACCGGCATGTGCTTTGTTTACATTCTGTTGACAGCAAGGAATCCTGACAGAAGATGAGTGATCAGTTAAGGACCTGGAGGTTGTCTTGCCCTGCCCTGCCTGCTCCTTAGCAACCAGCTATTCTTGATACAGGATTTGGATTGGTTGATCAATTTTCAAACGATTCGAATTCCAATTGTTCAGAAAATGTGGAATTTGTTCAAAAATGAACAAAACACACACCAGTTCACCTCAAAAACGCTTGAAAAATGATTAGCGTTTTTGAGGTGTTTGTGAAGCATTTTTCAAGCGGAACATCCTGGACATGTGACTTACTTACAACCATGTGTTAATGTTTCAGCTGTCAGCCTGTGGCCAACTGACCACTGAATGTAAAAGAAAGAATTGCCAGCAATTAAAAAATAAAAAATGGCATGCCCCCCTCCATCCATATCAAGCCCTTCAGGCCTGATATGGATTTTGAGAAGAACCCCCACCCAAAAAAAAAAAATCTGTACCAGACCCTTATCGGAGCATGCAGCCCAGCAGGTCAGGAAAGGGGGGGGGACAAGCGCCCCCCCCACCATGCCAGGCCATATGCCCTCAATATGGGGGGGTGCTTTGTTGATGGGGACAAGGGCCTCTTCCCCACAACCCTGGGCTGTGGTTGTGGGGGTCTGCGGGCGGAGGGCTTATCAGAATCTGGAATCCCCATTTAGCAAGGGGGGCACCCAGATCCCGGACCCCCCTATGTGAATGAGTATGGGGTATATGGTACCACTACCCATTCACAACAAAAAAAAAAAAAACCTGTAGTGTGAAACAAGACAGGAGACAATCTTTGACAAGTCCTTTATTAAAAGAAGGAAAATAAAAGAATGTCCCCCGAAATAGATCCAACGTCAATCATGATGCCCGCTGCCAACCGAAAAAAAAAAAAAAAACGCTCTTCTCCCGCTGCTGGCTCCCATTGTCTGACTGTTCCGATGGCTTGACAGTTCTTAAATATGTAAAGGCGGGCCCATCACGCATTTGAGCTCGCCCCCCCCCATGTGACATCATTGACCCAGCGTGCCTCGGTCGATGATGGCACTTGGGAGTGGGGTCACGTGAGTGATGCCACCGGGCATCGTGATTGACCTTGGAGATACTTTGAGGGAGATTCTTTTATTTTCCTTCTTTTAATAAAGGACTGTCTCCTGTCTTTTTTCACACTACACAGCTGCATGCTTTGATAGGTGTCTGGTGTGGATTTTGGGGACCCCATGCCTTTTTTTTTTTTTTGGCGTGGGGGTTTCCCCTCAAAATCCATACCATGGTATGGATGGAGGGGGGTACCCCACGATTTTTTTTAAATTATTTTTTAATTGACGGCAATTCTTACATTCAGCTGTCAGTGGGCAACCCCGCTGAAATCTGAAACAGCCAGACCTTCCCACATGAGTTGCGTTTTTGGAGCGTTTTTGAGGCGGTTACCATTCATTTCAATGTGAAGAGATGTTTTTGAGGTGGTTTTTTTACTCCCCAAACATGCCTCAAAGATGATGCAAGCAGGACTTTGTACACCGAACTGCAAGCGCAACGCCTCAGTGTGAAAACATACACAGATACACACTCGCGTGCACAGATACACACTCACATACACAGATACACACTCACATACACAGATACACACTCACATACACATTCACATACACAGATACACATACACAGATACACACTCACATTCACAGGGAAACAGTTTTCTTGAGCTTTTCAGGCAGTTTTTTTTTTTTATGCAAAAACGCTTCAAAAGCTCCTCGGTGTGAAAGCAGCCTAATAGGGAGATCCCCGGCTCACATATCGGATGGTTGTATCACATGACAGGAAGCTCATATGAGGCTCTGATTGCTCATTGCAGGAAGATCAGATTCCCCCGTGTATGACCGAATATTATTTCTTTATATTAGTAACTGGACTCATTTTACAATCATTTTAGGGAGGCTTAAGGAAACACAATTTCATAGACGATAACAGTGTGATAAATTCCAAGAATGAGAAAGTTGAGGATTGACTATTCCAATGTTTTGTTTTATCTTATTTTATGAGATGAAATATAAAACTGTCCCAGAATATGATTGTCTCAGTCAGTCCTGTTATACTCACTGTAATTCCTCTATCCGGCTTGTTGTCAGAGCCGCCATCAGATCCCTGAAATGAGGACCCTCTAGATTGTTATCAGACAGGTTCAGTGTCCTCAGTGTCGGGTTATTTCTTATTCCAGATGCCAGGTGGGGGCAGGAACTGTCTGTCAGGTGATTACAGGACAATCTGTAGAAGAGAAGTATGTTACCAGGAGAAAATACACGATATTGTCAAAAGTATTGTCCCCGCCCTCCAAATCATGTGATTCAGGTGTTCCAATCCCCTCCATATCATGTGATTCAGGTGTTCCAATCCCCTCCATATCATGTGATTCAGGTGTTCCAATCCCCTCCATATCATGTGATTCAGGTGTCCCAATCCCCTCCATATCATGTGATTCAGGTGTTCCAATCCCCTCCATATCATGTGATTCAGGTGTTCCAATCCCCTCCATATCATGTGATTCAGGTGTTCCAATCCCCTCCATATCATGTGATTCAGGTGTCCCAATCCCCTCCATATTATGTGATTCAGGTGTTCCAACCCCCTCCATGGACACAGGTGTATACAATCAAGCCCCTAGGCATGCAGACGGCTTCTACAAACATTGGTGAAAGAATGGGTCGCTCTCAGGAGCTCAGTGACTCCAAGCGTGGTCCCGTGATAGGTGGCCACCTGGGCAATAAGTCCATCCGTGACATTTCCTGGCTACTAAATATTCCACGCTCAACTGTTAGTGGGATTATAACAAAGTGGAAGCAACTGGGAACAACAGCCACTCAGCCACCAAGTGGTAGGCTACGTCACATGACAGGGCGGGGTCAGCGCATGCTGAAGCGCACAGTGCGCAGAAGTCACCAACTGTCTGCAGAGTCAATAGCTAAAGACCTCCAAACTTGGTGCGGCCTTCAGATGAGCCCAACAACAGTGCATGGAGAGCTTCATGGAATGGCTTTCCATGGCCGAGCAGCTGCATCCAAGCCTTCCATCACCAAGTGCAATGCAAAGCGTTGGATGCCATGGTGTAAAGCACGCCGCTACTGGACTCTAGAGCAGTGGAGACGTGTTCTCTGGAGGAACCAATCACGCTTCTCTGTCTGGCAATCTGATGGACGTGTCTGGGTTTGGCGGTTGCCAGGAGAACGTTACTTGCTTGACTTCTTGTGCCAAGTGTAAAGTTTGGTGGAGGGGGATTATGGTGTGGGGTTGTTTTTCAGGGGTGGGGCTTGGCCCCCTAGTTCCAGTGAAGGGACGACATTTTGGACAATTTCATGCTCCCAACTTTGTGGGAAGAGTTTGGGGATGGCCCCTTCCTGTTCCAACATGACTGCCCACCAGTGCACAAAGCAAGGTCCATAAAGACATGGAGGAGCCAGTTTGGGGGTGGAGGAACTTGACTGGCCTGCACAGAGTCCTGACCTCAACCCCATAGAACACCTTTGGGATGAATTAGAGCGGAGACTGCGAGCCAGGCCTCCTCCCCCGACATCAGTGCCTGACCTGACAAATGTGCTTCTGGAAGAATGGTCCAACCTTCCCATAGACACCCTCCTAAATCTTGTGGACGGCCTTCCCAGAAGAGTTGAAGCTGTTATAGCTGCAAAGGGCGGGGCCAACCCAATATTGAACCCTAAGGACTAAGACTGGGAGGCCGTTACAGGTCATGTGTGTGGAAAGGGCGGGGCCAACTCAATATTGAACCCTATGGATTAAGACTGGGGGGCCATTAAAGGTCATGTGTGCGGAGAGGGCGGGGCCAACTCAATATTGAACCCTAAGACTAAGACTGGGAGGCCGTTACAGGTCATGTGTGTAGAAAGGACGACCAATACTTTTGGCAATATAGTGTATGAAGAAAAGTGAAATGTCTATTTGTAGATCAGTCTGGATTTTGTCCATCCTGCTGTGTTGAAACTTCTAGGACTAGCGCTGGACTATAACAAGAGGTGTCAGTGATGCAACTAGTGGATTCCAGTTATAAGTGACTACGTTTAAGAATGACAGATTTTTTTTTTTTTGTGTGTCCATTTACCTAACCATGTCTCTATTCCGCAGGTTACACTGATCCTTTTAGATCCATCGTTGTCTATCGCGATTATTTCACTTTGGAACCAGCAATCGGAATTCTTAAAGTTTACATATCTTAGTTATTTTATTTATTTATTTTCACCTTCAAAATTAATTTTTAATTTTTTAGCTCATCCCTACCAGTTACCAGATGTGCTATCTCATGAAAAATTATATCAGTTCAGCTTTGACATAAACTAAAATATATCTTCTCCAGAAGCAAATCACAATGGAGTTTGTATTGAGGCAGATGAAGATTTCACAGCCAGACAACAACAAAGAGGACTAGATAAATACAGGAGATCATCAGCATTTGACCAGTAGGTCTCCTGGAGTATTTTAATGCTCACACCTGGCTAGTATTACAGAATGGTTCCTGGGGGATTGGGAAGGATCCTATTGACACTGTGACAGACCCAACCGGGACAGGGGCTTTAAGAGGGGACTGCAGGCTAGCCTCTTGCCTATTGACCATGGCCCTGGCGTCTAAGGGGGCTCTATTCTTTGTCACTTTTTTTGTCTGTCGGCTAGTCCTCCTGGAGATGTCATTAGCATTATGTCCACTTTACCTTGTTACCAAACCATTGTGGCATGTTTATGTGTTTAGGTTTATGTTAATGTGTAATATTTGTTTTTTATTGTTCATGAGGGGAATGTCCCTAGTTCTGAAAGATATAAAAACCTGTGCTCCTGTTCAATATAGTAATTCCACTTTTGCATCAAGCTAGTCTCGTCTAGTCTTGGGTACAGTGCCCAGTTAGAACACCTTGGTCCTGTGTCCCAGTGACGAGAAAGCGGTTCTCTGATGGATTCACTCAATCGAGGTGACAAGCGTTCCGTCACAGACACCCTTTGTAATCATCTGCTTGAAAACTCATCACTGAGCATGGGACAGGAATTACATTTTGTGACCTCTAGAGCAAGATATCGCCCACATAGGATCAAGAATGCAATTTGCAGGGACCCAACTGAGGGTGTATCTCAAGACAAGATTGGATAAGGGGTCCTAGTATAAAACATTCATAAAACATTTATAACTGGGCACTGTACCCAAGACTAGACGAGACTAGCTTGATGCAAAAGTGGAATTACTATATTGAACAGGAGCACAGGTTTTTATATCTTCAGAGAGACTGTGTATTAGAAAATAGAGGACCCCCTTCTTCCCTGTCCCATTTCCCGATTTGTAAGTATAATGTGTGTATGTTCATTTGTAAATAAACCAACCCTTGTTAAAGAGTTAGTGGTCCTTCATTAAAATCAAGGCATCCCAAAACAGAGCACATTTTTAAACCACACTGTTTTATTACGGTAACGTGATAGTTTGTTTTTTTCTGGGTTTTTCGAAGTGTGCAAAGAGAGATCACACAAACACTTGTAGGAAAAATCGAACTGTATATAACATTTCATTAAATAACACCAGATAACGATAATATTGGAAGATTCAACAAGAATACTTATCTAGAGATGCTACACAGACTAAATGGAATATCAGATTATAATCCGGTTTTAGGAAAAGACTAGTTTAGGGCGATGGGACACAAGAATTTGATGACAGTCAAGAAAGGACTATACAGTGGGGATCGAAAGTTTGGGCACCCCAGCTAAAAATTTGTATTAATGTGCATAAAGAAGCCAAGGAAAGATGGAAAAATCTCCAAAAGCCATCAAATTACAGATTAGACATTCTTATAATATGTCAACAAAAGTTAGATTTTATTTCCATCATTTACACTTTCAAAATAACAGAAAACAAAAAAATGGCGTCTGCAAAAGTTTGGGCACCCTGCAGAATTTATAGCATGCACTGCCCCCTTTGCCAAGCTGAGACCTGCCAGTGTCATGGATTGTTCTCAATCATCGTCTGGGAAGACCAGGTGATGTCAATCTCAAAGGTTTTAAATGCCCAGACTCATCTGACCTTGCCCCAACAATCAGCACCATGGGTTCTTCTAAGCAGTTGTCTAGAAAACTGAAACTGAATATAGTTGACGCTCACAAAGCTGTAGAAGGCTATAAGAAGATAGCAAAGCATTTTCAGATGTCAATATCTTCTGTTCGGAATGTAATTAAGAAATGGCAGTCATCAGGAACAGTGGAAGTTAAAGCAAGATCTGGAAGACCAAGAAAAATATCAGACAGAACAGCTCGCAGGATTGTGAGAAAAACAATTCAAAACCCACGTTTGACTGCACGATCCCTCCAGAAAGATCTGGCAGACACTGGAGTTGTGGTCACTATTCCACTATAAAGAGATACTTGTACAAATATGGTCTTCATGGAAGAGTCATCAGAAGAAAACCTCTTCTACGTCCTCACCACAAAAATCATCGTTTGAACTTTGCAAATGAACATATAGACAAGCCTGATGCATTTTGGAAACAAGTTCTGTGGACCAATGAGGGTTAAAATGGAACTTTTTGGCCGGAATGAGCAAAGGTACGTTTGGAGAAGAAGGGGCACAGAATTTAATGAAAAAGAACCTCTGTCCAACTGTTAAGCATGGGGTTGGATCAATCATGCTTTGGGGTTGTGTTGCAGCCAGTGGCACAGGGAACATCTCACGAGTAGAAGGAAAAATGGATTCAATAAAATTTCAGCAAATTTTGGATGGTAACTTGATGCTATCTGTGAAAAAGCTGAAGTTAAAGAGAGGATGGCTTCTACAAATGGATAATGATCCTAAACACACCTTGAAATCCACGGGGGATTACATCAAGAGGCATAAACTGAAGGTTTTGCCATGGCCTTCACAATCTCCTGACCTCAACATCATTGAAAATCTATGGATAGACCTTAAAAGAGCAGTGCGTGACAGACAGCCCAGAAATCTCAAAGAACTGGAAGACTTTTTGTAAGGAAGAATGGGCAAAGATACCTCAAACAAGAACTGAAAGACTCTTGGCTGGCTACAAAAAGCGTTTACAAGCTGTGATACTTGCCAAAGGGGGGCAGTACAAGATATTAACTCTGCAGGGGGCCCAAACTTTTGCAGACGCCATTTTTTTGTTTTCTGTTATTTTGAAAGTGTAAATGATGGAAATAAAATCTAACTTTTGTTTTGACATATTATAAGAATGTCTAATCTGTAATTTGATGCCTTTTGGAGATTTTTCCATCTTTCCTTGGCTTCTTTATGCACATTAATACAAATTTTTAGCTGGGGTGCCCAAACTTTCCATCCCCACTGTATATAAAGATAAACAAAAATGAGATCCAATATGGTCATGTTATAATTGTGTGATTTGTGTAGTTTGGATATAAAACTGTCCCAGAATATGATTGTCTCAGTCAGTCCTGTTATACTCACTGTAATTCCTCTATCCGGCTTGTTGTCAGAGCCGCCATCAGATCCCTGAAATGAGGACCCTCCAGATTGTTATCAGACAGGTTCAGTGTCCTCAGTGTCGGGTAATTGCTTATTCCAGATGCCAGGTGGGGGCAGGAAATGTCTGTCAGGTGATTATAGGACAATCTGTAGAAAAAGAGAAGAATGTTACCAGAAGGAAATGAATCCCCCCCCCCCCAGGAATGAATGGAACTATTATCTACATGGATGGAACTCATTTCTCTTTATTGGAATCATTTATATTCGATCACTTTATAAATCTCCAGGAAACAGAATTTTTCTAAGACAAATGTTATAATGGAGTAGACCCCCCCAATGTTGTCCTCCATGTGTAGAGACGGTGATATCTCCATACACAGGATGAGCACAGAATACCACTGACATGACTCGTATTGTGCTATCATCTCCTTGTGTGTGGAGCAGAAATCAAAGTTGCCAACTTCCCAAAGAGAAATTTACTGGCACAACAAATAAAATTTCCTGACAGAGCCAACTTTTTACTGACAGTTTGAAAAGGTTAGCCAAAATTACCGTATTCACTTCAAACATCAATATTTAGGCTACAAAAGTAGCTAGCGCAAATAGCAATGTGCTTAAGGTATAACAAAAGGCAAAACACATATTTCTTCTGTAGCACCCCCCCCCTTAGGAGTCGCTGAGTTTTGGGTCCCCTAAAGCTCTGCAAAGCCAGGCAACACGCATTTTCTTCCACACTTTACACACTGGAGTCAGTAAACAGTCCTTGAGTTTGGTTTTGTGATGTTATTAAGGGGTTAATAACTTGGATGAGGTCTAGGGGTGTATGGGATGCCCAAGAGAACTGTAGAACTTTGAGGACAAACTCCTTATCAACTATGTACAAAAATGTGGATGTAGCAACAGTCTCTCCTTTAGGAGCATTCAAAGCTCTTTGGTGTACCTCCTCAGACCCCAGATGAATCATCCTCTGCACCCAGCTGTACTGAGGGTATTTCTTGGGCAAAGGGGCCAAAGAGCTGCCAATTTAAAACCGTTCCAGATGAGAAGATAATTGGGTTCTCTACCTGACTGCCCTCTCCCCTTATCTGGCTCGGGGGGAAGGGGTGCAAGAGTACTCACACTGTCCTTTCCTGTCAGCTTGGTGGGTTGGTGGCTGCCTTCAGGCCTTATGTTAGGCTGGCTCCTTTCCTGCTGCTCAAGATGTCCTCCCAAGGAGATGGAGGTGCAGCAGAGATCCTCTTTTCCAGCAACCTGCCTGTAGGTAAGCCCTCTCCCAGGCTCCACACTCCAGCCTCTCACTACATCTTCCAGCTCACTCCCCCTAGCTCCCCAGGCTCTGTGATATTTGAGAGTTGTCTTGGTCACCATGCCCAGCCTCCTGCCAGGGGATTGGCCAGGTTCCTTCAAACATGTAGATCTGAGCCTCCTATCCTCCTCTGATCCTCTTCCAGAAAATTCCTTAAGTTTCTGGAAGGGTTGGAGGGCTCCAGAAGCTCTGACCTGTAGAACTTCCCTAGCCTGTCCGGAGGTGAACTCCTGCCTCACTCTCAGGCTGACTCATCCCAGGCTGCTACTTAGCCTCTACCTGAAAAAAAAAAATTAAATAAAATAAAAAACTATCTAGCTAACCTGGAGGACTCTGCACTCCTATTTACATGAAGGTTAATATAACCTAGCACAGAGTTCCCCCTTACATCAGAGTCTGCAGTGTTTCCCCTTTACAGTGCAAGGGGAGAACTCTGAACCCTGATGTAAAAGGGAACACTATAGAGTCTGATGTAAAGGAGAACATCTCTAGTCACCACAACCCCCCCTTACACAAGAGTCTATAGAGCTCTCCTTTACAACACAGTCCACAGATTTCCCCCTACATCAGACTCCAGAGTTCCCTTTGCATCACAGTACACAAAGTTCTCCCTCACAGAGTTCACCTTTACATCAGTGTCCGCAGGGTAAGGGGGGAACTCTGCAGACACTAATGTAAAGGGAAACACTGTGGACCCTGATGTAAAGGGTAATGCTGCAGACCATCGTGTAAAGGGAACTCTGATGTAAAGGGGTCTCTGGTCACCAGAGAGCCCACAGATTTTCCCCTTACATCAGAGTCCCCCTTTACATCAGGGTCTGCAGCATTACCCTTTACATCAGAGTCCCCCTTTACATCAGGTCTTAACATTAATTAATGAATACATTAGATTACCCAAAGGTCTTCTTGGACACACCCTGCCAGGTCCCTTCAGTGAATGATACTCATTCTGCCTGTCCTGTATCTATATAGAAGAATGACAATGTGACAAGTGATGCCTCACACACCAGGAGCAGGCTGTTCAGTGCAAGGACACCGGGTGTCTGATACCCTGGTGTCCTCACACTCCCCACCTTTTCCTTGTATTGCCCAATCCCAGTCGTGCAGTGCTCAATCTCTCCAATCCCATCCAGCAGGTTTCTATTTTGCAAACTTTAACTGCTCCCATGGATCCCTGCACACTGCTGCTCCCAAGCTCCTTGAAAGAAGACTAAGCAACAGCCTGGCACATTCCAGCACCCTGCCCCCAGGTTCCCAAACCAGCCCACAGCACAGCACCACTTTTGTGCTTTCCCCATTGCCACACTCCCTCCCCCCACAGAATCGGTTTCTGCTGACAGCCAACTACATATTTTTGCTGTGCTCCATTCTGTTCACAAAGGTTGTGTTTTCATGGTGACTGGCAGTGGTGGCAAAAAATGCACCAGGAGTCCAGGATGTCATGCTCAGGCATCACCTCCACCAGACCCGCTCCCCAGTGCCCCAACACCGTAGCAGTAGCACTTGGATTCAGAGCCTCGGAGGGTCCATCGGCCAGCTCCGGAACTGCGCATGTACAGTTCTAAGCGGACAGTCACAGCCTTACTTTTAATGGGCGCTCTTCTGTGATGAACATTTACAGACAGGAGAAAAGAGCCCAGTTTTTACAAAAAGTCCATAAAATACCGGATGGTTGGAAACACTGGCATGAATGGGATCAGCAGACAGTGTGAGGCCAAAATCAGCATTGCTAGTGATTGGACGGGAGGATTTTATCTGATGTTCTATTTATCTCTGCTGATAAGAGCTCTGTACTCATAGGAAGTAGAGAGGAGATTTCAGACCTTAAATAACAGATGTGCAGTAATGGGGAGAGACACAGTTGGTTGGATGTGTAGTAATAAGGATAACGTCTGATGGACTAAACTAACAATCATATTTGAGGAAGGTATTAAAGTGGAGATACTGTAGCTGCTGACTTTTGATATTAGGGCACTTACCTGTCCAGGGATCCAGCAGTGGCCTTACCCCAAGCTGATTCTTCAATTGTCTGTTGGGTGCTGGCGCAGCCATCTTGACTAAGGGAAACCAGCATTAAAGCCTTGTGACTTCACATCCGGTTTCCTACTGTGCAAAGCGCACTGTGCTTTGTGCATGGACCGCAGTCCTCTGGGGCCTGTGTAGTGTCCCAGAGGGCTGCAGGGGGGGCCCGAACTTCTGCCTCCATTCACAGAGGCAAACTGAGCTGGAAGTGGGAGTGGGTACCGATCAAAACCAGGTACCCGCTCCCCCCCAAAAGGTGCCAAATGTGGTAGCGGAGGGGAGAGAGGAGGCAGATAAGTGAAGCTTCCACTTTTGGGTGGAACTCAGCTTAAAGAAAACACAATTTCATGACTGATAACAGTGTGATAAGATCCAAGAATGAGCCAGTTTGGGATTGGTTGTTTAAAGGTTAATTTTATATATTACACTATCATCTCTTCATTTTATGTGGTTTAGATATAAAACTGTCCCAGAATATGATTGTCTCAGTCAGTCCTGTTATACTCACTGTAATTCCTCTATCTGGCTTGTTGTCAGAGCCGCCATCAGATCCCTGAAATGAGGACCCTCCAGATTGTTCCCAGACAGGTTCAGTGTCCTCAGTGTCGGGTTATTTCTTATTCCAGATGCCAGGTGGGGGCAGGAACTGTCTGTCAGGTGATTATCATCCAATCTGTAGAAGAAGAGAAGAATGTTACCAGAAGGAAATGAATCCCCCCCCCCCCCCCCAGGAATGAATGGAACTATTCTCTACATGGATGGAACTCATTTCTCTTTATTGGAATCATTTATATTCCATCACTTTATAAATCTCCAGGAAATAGAATTTTATAAGACAAATGTTATAATGGAGTAGACCCCCCAATATTGTCCTCCATGTGTAGAGACGGTGATATCTCCATACACAGGATGAGCACAGAATACCACTGACATGACTCGTATTGTGGCTTTCGGCTGCTGCAGGAGGAAAATAAAGCCAGCATAAGGCTGCTTAGGAAGCTGCCTTAGGGCTCCAGGGTAGGATCCATGGGAGGGGAGGGAGGGCAGAGGATACTGCTATGGGGGAAAAGGAGGGAAAAGGACACTACTGTGGGCGGGTGGGGTGAAGGGCGGTAGAGGAAATGACTATAGGGGTGGCCATACCCATAGCAATGTCTTCCTCTCTCTGCACATTACCTTCCCCCCCATCCCCCGCAGTAGTGTCCTCTGCCCCTTTCACATCACTCCCCACAGTAGTGACCTCTTCCTACCCATAGCAGTGTCTTCTACGACTCTTCACATAAACTCCCCCTCCCCATTAGTATTCTCTGCCCCCCCCTTTACACCATAGTAGTGACATCTGGACCCCCTTCCCCCACCCCCCAGCAGCGTCCTCTGCCTCCCCCCCTTCCCTCCCATAGAAGTGTCCCAAGCACTGCAGTATCCTACCTGTATACACAGAGGAGAGAGTGGAAGGCAGCATAGTTCTGGATGGAGGGTGGGAGCTGCCAGAGTGACTTTTCATATTAACAAGCTGGTGGTTGGTTGCTAGGAACGCCCTAGCAACCAATCACTTTTCGGTTACCTTGAAAAGTTAATTTGGCAAGCTCCTCCTCCCGCCCTCCATCCTGAGCTGTGCTGCCTCCCGCTCTCCGCTGTGCACTGAGGATGACAGTGATGGAGAAGGTTGGGGGGGGGGGGGGAGAAGGACGGCTCCTAAAGGTACGAGTCGGCAGTGCAGAGACCTGTTCCAAGGTCTACCTGACACCGGCCCGCAGTCAACAGGAAGACCGCGATCAACTGGTATCAAGTTAGAGCGTTGAGGCAACCATTTAGCATTAACAGGAGAGCTTACAATGATCAGTTTGTATTCCTTCATATATAATCTTTATCCCACAAGGGAAAAAAACAAAGTTTGCTGTAACTGCTTGTAAGGTATTAGCTGGAGTTCTTCTTCAATATGTCGGTCAAGTCTATCTAGATCTGCTAATATAACTCTCCCCTCTCCCCAGACTGACAATGCTATCGTCCTGAGGTAAGGATAGATATATACCCTGATATTAGGCAATCAACAATAAATACATAAAATTGCAACGCTTAAAAACTTACAAATAATCATAAGAAAACAGTGAAAAATGTGTCATAAAAATAGTCCCATCCAAAAATAACAGAAAAGTCCCAGAGGCTGCGATGAAACAAAAGAAATCCAAGGACAGTTGTGGTGTCACCAACCACTACTACAGAAGGCTTACCAGAAAGTTGGAAGCAGTAGCGTGTGTGCGTGGGTGGAGCCACGTACACATGCTACTGCGCATTCGCGAACGGCCAGCGGCCATTTTGAAAACTGTAAAATTTGGACTTTTTTTGCCAATCAATGCCTAATGCTGTTTGCTTACATGTGAGCGCAACCGTACTTTAAATAAATGTTGTGATTATGGATTTACACTATGTGGAGCGCTCTTTTCTTTGCATGTTTCCCACTACGAGTCCAAGCCTCATCCTGAATGGTTTGCTACCCTAACTAAGGTCCATTGTTTGGAAGATCCTTATCTGCTGTTTTGGTGATTTGGAGGATCCCCAAAACAGCTCCCCTTTACATCACAGTCCACAGATTTCCCCTCCATCAGACTCCAGAGTTCCCCTTTGTAAGGGAGAACTTTGTGTACTGTGATGTCAGAGTTCACCTTCACATCAGTGTCCGCTGGGTAAGGGGAGAACTCTGCAGACACTAATGTAAAGGGAAACACTGTGGACTCTGATGTAAAGGGGAATGCTGCAGACCATCGTTTTAAAGTGAACCCTGATGTAAAGGGGTCTCTGGTCACCACAGAGCCCACAGATTTTCCCCTTACATCAGAGTTCCCACTTACATCAGGGTCTGCAGCATTACCCTTTACTCAGAGTCCCCCTTTACATCAGGTCTTAACATGAATTAATGAATACATTAGATTACCCCAAAGGTCTTCTTGGAGACACTCCGCCAGGTCCCTTCAGTGAATGATACTCCTCCTGCCTGCCCTGTATCTATATAGAAGAATGACAATGTGACAATTGTGATGCCTCACACACCAGGAGCAGGCTGTTCAGTGCAAGGAGTGAATAAGGGGGAGAAAACAATGTTCTTGGACAACTTGCCAGCCAGCTTGCTAACAACCAAATTAACCTGTCTAACAGTATGCGTTTATAACAGGGGTTAATGTGTGCTAACTAAACCCCTGTTATAAACGCATACTGTTAGACAGGTTAATTTGGTTGTTAGCAAGCTGGCTGGCAAGTTGTCCAAGAACATTGTTCTCTCCCCCTTATTCACTGTGTGATGCCTGTTTATGTGTCCTTGCTTCATAAGCCAGTTATAGACTTGGGCGGGTGGCCACTTTTATGCATGTTCAGTGCAAAGACACCCAGTGTCTGATCCCGGGTGCCCTCACACTCCCCACCTTTTCCCTTGTATTGCCCAATCCCAGTCGTGCAGTGTGCTCAATCTCTCCAATCCCATCCAGCAGGGTTTCTACTTTGCAAACTTGAACTGCCTCCATGGATCCCTGCACACTGCTGCTCCCAAGCTCCTCGAAAAGAAGACTGTAAGCAACAGCCTGGAACATTCCAGCAACCTGCCCCCAGGTTCCCAAACCAGCCCTCAGCACAGCACCACTTTTGTGCTTTCCCCATTACCACACTCCCTCCCCCCACAGAATCTGTTTCTGCTGACAGCCAACTACCTATTATTGCTGTGCTCCATTCTGTTCACAAAGGTTGTGTTTTCATGGTGACTGGCAGTGGTGCGCGAAAAAAATGCACCAGGAGTCCAGGATGTCATGCTCAGGCATCACCTCCACCAGACCCGCTCCCCAGTGCCCCAACACCGTAGCAGTAGCACTGGACTCAGAGCCTCGGAGGGTCCATCGGCCAGCTCCGGAACTGCGCATGTACAGTTCTAAGTGGACAGTCACAGCCTTACTTTTAATGGGCGCTCTTCTGTGATGAACATTTACAGACAGGAGAAAAGAGCCCAGTTTTTACAAAAAGTCCATAAAATACCGGATGGTTGGAAACACTGCATGTCCCCTTAGATTGTACACCCCTTGAGGGTTAGGGACCGATGTGAATGTACAATATATATGTAAAGCGCGGCGTAAATTGATGGTGCTATGGAAGTACCTGAAAATAAATAAATAAATAATGAATGGGATCAGCAGACAGTGTGAGGCCAAAATCAGCATTGCTAGTGATTGGACGGGAGGATTGTATCTGATGTTCTATTTATCTCTGCTGATAAGAGCTCTGTACTCATAGGAAGTAGAGAGGAGATTTCACACCTTAAATAAACAGATGTGCAGTAATGGGGAGAGACACAGTTGGTTGATGTGTAGTAATAAGGATAACTTCTGATGGACTAAACTAACAATCATAATATTGGAGGAAGGTATTAAAGCGGAGTTCCGGCCCTCGCCCCCCCACCCCTCCCTCCTAAAAAAAAATATAAAACTTTTGATATTGGTGCACTTACCTGTCCAGGGATCCAGCAGTGTCCTCACCCCAAGCTAATTCTTCAATTGGCTGTTGGGTGCTGGCGCAGCCATCTTGACTAAGGGGAAACCAGCATTAAAGCCTTTTGACTTCACATGTGGTTTTCCTACTGTATGCAAAGCGCACTGTGCTTTGTGAATGGACCGCAGTCCTCTGGGGCCTGTGTAGTGTTCCAGAGGGCTGCAGGGGGGCCCGAACTTCTACCTCCATTCACAGAGGCAAACTGAGCTGGAAGTGGAGAGTGGGTACCGATCAAAACCAGGTACCAGCTCCCCCCCCAAAAAGGTGCCAAATGTGGCAGTGGAGGGGACAGAGGAGGCAGATAAGTGAAGCTTCCACTTTTGGGTGGAATTCAGCTTTAAAAGAAAACACCATTTCATGACTGATAACAGTGTGATAAGATCCAAGAAATGAGCCAGTTTGGGATTGGTTGTTTAAAGGTTAATTTTATATATTACACTATCATCTCTTCCTTTTATGTGGTTTAGATATAAATCTGTCCCAGAATATGATTGTCTCAGTCAGTCCTGTTATACTCACCGTAATTCCTCTATCTGGCTTGTTGTCAGAAGCCGCCATCAGATCCCTGAAATGAGGACCCTCCAGATTGTTCCTAGACAGGACCAGTGGTCCTCAGTGTCGGGTTATTTCTTATTCCAGAATGCCAGTGTGGGGGCAGGAACTGTCCTGTCAGGTGATTACCATACAATCTGTAGAAGAGAAGAATGTTACCAGAAGGAAATGAATCGAAAAAATCCCCCCCCCCCCCCCGGAATGAATGGAACTATTCTCTACATGGATGGAGCTCATTTCTCTTTATTGGAATCATTTATATTCCATCACTTTATAAATCTCCAGGAAATAGAATTTTATAAGACAAATGTTATAATGGAGTAGACCCCCAATATTGTCCTCCATGTGTAGAGACGGTGATATCTCCATACACAGGATTGATGAGCAAGAATACCACTGACATGACTCGTATTGTGGCTTTCGGCTGCTACAAGAGGAAAATAAAGCCAGCATAAGGCTGCTTAGAGGAAGCTGCCTTAGGGCTCCAGGGTAGGATCCATGGGAGGGAAGGGAGGGCAGAGGACACTGCTATGGGGAAAAAAGGGGGGAAAAGGACACTACTGTGGGCGGGTGGTGTGAAGGGTGGTAGAAGAAACGACTATAGGGGTGGCCATGCCCATAGCAACATCCTCCTCTCTCTGCACATAAACCTACCCCCCCCCCCCCCGCAATAGTGTCCTCTGCCCCCTTCACATCACTCCCCACAGTAGTGTCCTCTACCACTCTGCACAGAAACTCCCCCTCCCTATTAATATTATCTGACCCCCCCTTTACACCATAGTAGTGACATCATCTGCCCCCCTTCCCCCCCCCCAGCAGCGTCCTCTGCCTTCCCCCCTTCCCTCCCATAGAAGTGTCCCAAGCACTGCAGTATCCTACCTGTATACACAGAGGAGAGAGTGGAAGCGGCAGCATAGTTCTGGATGGAGGGTGGGGAGCTGCCAGAGTGACTTTTCATATTAACAAGCTGGTGGTTGGTTGCTAGGAACGCCCTAGCAACCAATCACTATCTCGGTTACCTTGAAAAATTAATTTGGCAAGCTCCTCCTCCCGCCCTCCATCCTGAGCTGTGCTGCCTCCCGCTCTCCGCTGTGCACTGAGGATGACAGTGATGGAGAAGGTTGAGGGGGGGGGGGGGGAGAAGGACGGCTCCTAAAGGTACGAGTCGGCAGTGCAGAGACCTGTTCAAGGGTCTACCTGACACCGGCCCGCAGTCAACAGGAAGACCGCAATCAACTGGTTTCAAGTTAGAGCGTTGAGACAACCATTTTAGCATTAACAGGAGAGCTTACGATGATCAGTTTTTGTATTCCTTCATATATAATCTTTATCCCACAAGGAAAAAAAAACAAAGTTTGCTGTAACTGCTTGTAAGGTATTAGCTGGAGTTCTTCTTCAATATGTCGGTCAAGTCTATCTAGATCTGCTAATATAAACTCTCTCCCTCTCCCCTCTCCCCAGACTGACAATGCTATCGTCCTGAGGTAAGGATAGATATATACCCTGATATTAGGCAATCAACAACTAAAATACATAAAATTGCAACGCTTAAAAACTTACAAATAATCATAAGAAAACAGTGAAAAATGTGTCATAAAAATAGTCCATCCAAAAATAACAGAAAAGTCCCAGAGGCTGTGATGAAACAAAAGAAATCCAAGGACAGTTGTGGTGTCACCAACCACTACTACAGAAGGCTTACCAGAAAGGTGGAGGCAGTAGCGTGTGTGTGCGTGGGTGGAGCCACGTACACATGCTACTGTGCATTTCGCGAACGTCAGCAGCCATTTTGAAAACTGTAAAATTTGGACTTTTTTTGCCAATCAATGCCTAATGATGTTTTGCTTACATGTGAGTGCAACCGTACTTTAAATAAATGTGATTATGGATTTACACTATGAGGAGCGCTCTTTCTTTGCATTTTCCCACTACGAGTCCAAGCCTCATCCTGAATGGTTTAGCTACCCTAACTAAGGTCCATTGTTTGGGAAGATCCTTATCTGCTGTTTTTGGTGATCTGGAGGATCCCCAAAACAGCTCCCCTTTACATCACAGTCCACAGATTTCCCCCTACATCAGACTCCAGAGTTCCCCTTTGCATCACAGTACACAAAGTTTCTCCCTTACAGAGTTCACCTTCACATCAGTGTCTGCAGAGTAAGGGGGGAACTCTGCAGACCATCATGTAAAGGGAAACACTGTGGACTCTGATGTGAGGGGGTAATGCTGCAGGCCATCGTGTAAAGGGAACTCTGATGTAAGGGGGGTCTCTGGTCACCACAGAGCCCACAGATTTTCCCCTTACACAGAGTTCCCACTTACATCAGGGTCTTCAGCATTACCCTTTACATCAGAGTCCCCCTTTACATCAGGTCTTAACATTAATTACTGAATACATTAGATTACCCAAAGGTCCTCTTGAAGACACCCCGCCAGGTCCCTTCAGTGAATGATACTCCTCCTGCCTGTCCTGTATCTATATAGAAGAAGGACAAATGTGACAAGTGATGCCTCCCACACCCAGGAGCAGGCTGTTCAGTGTAAGGACACCGGGTGTCTGATCACCCCTGGTGCCCCTCACACTCCCCACCTTTTTTCCCTTGTATTGCCCAATCCCAGTCTTGCAGTGCTCAATCTCTCCAATCCCATCTAGCAGGGTTTCTACTTTTGCAAACTTAACTGCCTCCATGGATCCCTGCACACTGCTGCTCCCCAAGCTCCTCGAAAGAAGACTAAGCAACAGCCCGGCACATTCCAGCAACCTGCCCCCAGGTTCCCAAACCAGCCCTCAGCACAGCACCACTTTTGTGCTTTCCCCATTGGCACACTCCCTCCCCCACAGAATCTGTTTCTGCTGACAGCCAACTACATACTATTGATGTGCTTCATTCTGTTCACCCAAAGGTTGTGTTTTCATGGTGACTGGCAGTGGTGGCAAAAAATGCACCAGGAGTCCAGGATGTCATGCTCAGGCATCACCTCCACCAGACCCGCTCCCCAGTGCCCCCAACACCGTAGCAGTAGCACTTGGATTCAGAGCCTCGGAGGGTCCATCGGCCAGCTCCGGAACTGCGCATGTACAGTTCTAAGCGGACAGTCACACAGCCTTACTTTTTTTTAATGGGCGCTCTTCTGTGATGAACATTTACAGACAGGAGAAAAGAGCCCAGTTTTTACAAAAAGTCCATAAAATACCGGATGGTTGGAAACACTGGCATGTCCCCTTAGATTGTACACCCCTTGAGGGTTAGGGACCGATGTGAATGTACAATATATATGTAAAGCGCGGCGTAAAAATTGATGGTGCTATGGAAGTACCTGAAAATAAATAATGAATGGGATCAGCAGACAGTGTGAGGCCAAAATCAGCATTGCTATTGATTGGGACGGGAGGATTGTATCTGATGTTCTATTTATCTCTGCTGATAAGAGCTCTGTACTCATAGGAAGTAGAGAGGAGATTTCACACCTCAAATACCAGATGTGCAGTAATGGGGAGAGACACAGTTGGTTGATGTGTAGTAATAAGGATAACTTCTGATGGACTTAAAACTAACAATAATATTTGAGGAAAGTATTAAAGCGGAGTTCCAGCCCTCGCCCCCACCCCCTCCTAAAAAAAAAATATAAAACTTTGATATTGGGGCACTTACCTGTCCAGGGATCCAGCAGTGTCCTTACCCCAAGCTAATTCTTCAATTGGCTGTTTGGTGTGCTGGCGCAGCCATCTTGACTAAGGGAAACCAGCATTAAAGCCTTGTGACTTCACAGCCGGTTTCCTACTGTGTAAAGCGCACTGTGCTTTGTGAATGGACCGCAGTCCTCTGGGGCCTGTGTAGTGTCCCAGAGGGTCTGCAGGGGGGCCGAACTTCTGCCTCCATTCACAGAGGCAAAACTGAGCTGGAAGTGGGAGTGGGTACCGGTCAAAAACCAGGTACCCACTCCCCCCCCCCCAAAAGGTGCCAAATGTGGCAGCGGAGGGGAGGAGAGGAGGCAGATAAGTGAAGCTTCACTTTTGGTGGAACTCAGCTTAAAGAAAACACAATTTCATGACTGATAACAGTGTGATAAGATCCAAGAATGAGCCAGTTTGGGATTGGCTGTTTAAAGGTTAATTTTATATATTACACTATCATCTCTTCCTTTTATGTGGTTTAGATATAAAACTCTCCCAGAATAGGATTTGTCTCAGTCAGTCCTGTTATACTCACTGTAATTCCTCTATCCGGCTTGTTGTCAGAGCCGCCATCAGATCCCCGAAATGAGGACCCTCCAGATTGTTCCCAGACAAGTCCAGTGTCCTCAGTGTCGGGTTATTCTTATTCCAGATGCCAGGTGGGGGCAGGAACTGTCTGTCAGGTGATTACCATCCAATCTGTTAGAAGAAGAGAAGAATGTTACCAGAAGAAAATGAATCTCCCCCCCCCAGGAATGAATGGAACTATTCTCTACATGGATGGAACTCATATTGGAATCATTTATATTCCATCACTTTATAAATCTCCAGGAAATAGAATTTATAAGACAAATGTTATAATGGAGTAGACCCCCCAATATTGTCCTCCATGTGTAGAGACGGTGATATCTCCATACACGGGATGAGCACAGAATACCACTGACATGACTCGTATTGTGGCTTTCGGCTGCTGCAGGAAGAAAATAAAGCCAGCATAAGGCTGCTTAGGAAGCTGCCTTAAGGGCTCCAGGGTAGGATCCATGGGAGGGGGAGGGAGGGCAGAGGACACGGCTATGGGGAAAAAGGGGGGAAAGGACACTACCTACTGTGGGCGGGTGGTGTGAAGGGCGGTAGAGGAAACGACTATAGGGGTGGCCATGCCCATAGCAATGTCCTCCTCTCTCTGCACATTACCTCCCCCCCAGCAGTAGTGTCTTCTGCCCTGCAATAGCAGTGTCCTCTGCCCCCTTCACATCACTCCCCATAGCAGTGTCCTCTACCACTCTGCACAGAAACTCCCCCTCCCCATTAATATTCTCTGACCCCCACTTTACACCATAGTAGTGACCTCTGGCCCCCCTTTTCCCCCCAATACAAAGCAAAACAAAAAACGAGAAGTGCACAGGCCTTGCGCATTACCTCAATAGACACAAAAATGTATTAATAAGAAAAGGTACTCACAAACAGCGAATAAAATCAGGCATGTAAGTCTCACAGGGGCTTCAAAGATAAGGAGCCAGCGCAAGTCCCATCGTGGGGTAGACACTCAGTTCAGCTGACGCGTTTCGAAGGCCATATCTTCTTCTTCAGAGCTCTGCTGAAGAAGTATGGTCTTCGAAACGCGTCAGCTGAACGGAGTGTCTACCCCCACGATGGGACTTGCGCTGGCTCCTTATCTTTGAAGCCCCTGTGAGGACTTACATGCCTGATTTTATTCGCTGTTTGTGAGTTACCTTTTCTTATTAATAAATTTTTGTCTATTGAGGTAATGCGCAAGGTCTCTGCGCTTCTTGTTTTTGTTTCGCTTTGTAGTGTTGGTCGGCTTTTCCCCAGCCTTGTTTGGAGCTGCACAACCTTTGATGCACTGGTGGTCGCTTTTTTCCAGTTCTGGTTCCATCTATTTGCCACCCGCCTGGGTCCTAGAGCGCAGAAGAAATCGTGTTTGGCCCCCCTTTTCCCCCCCCCCCAGCAGCGTCTCCTCTGCCTCCCCCCCTTCCCTCCCATAGAAGTGTCCAAGCACTGTATTTCCTACCTGTAAATACACAGAGGAGAGAGTGTACAGCAGCATAGATAGTTTCTGGATGGAGGGAGGGAGCTGACAGAGTGACTTTTCATATAAACAAGCTGGTGGATATGGTGGTTGCTAGGAACGCCTAGCAACCAATCACTTTTCGGTTACCTTGAAAAGTTAATTTGGCAAGCTCCTCCTCCCGCCCTCCATCCCTGAGCTGTGCTGCCTCCCCCTCTCCACTGTGCACTGAGGATGACAGTGACGGAGAAGGTTGGGGGGGGGAAGAAGGACGGCCCCTAAAAGAGGTACGAGTCGGCAGTGCAGAGACCTGTTCCAAGGTCTACCTGACACCGGCCCGCAGTCAAGAGATAGGCCGCAATCAACTGGTTTCGAGTTACAGCGTTGAGACAACCATTTAACATTAACAGGGGAGCTTACAATGATCAGTTTGTATTCCTTCATATATAATCTTTATTCCACAAGGAAAAAAACAAAGTTTGCTGTAACTGATTATAAAGGTATTAGCTGGAGTTCATCTTCAATGTCGGTCAAGTCTATCTACAGTTGCAAGAAAAAAGTATGTGAACCCCTTGGGATTACATGGAGTTTTGCATGAATTGGGCATAAAATGTGCTCTGAACGTCATTTAAGTCACAACAATAGAAGAACACAGTCCTGCTGAACATAATACTACACAAACATTAGATGTTGCCATGGTTTAATTGCAACATAACATGTAAACATTCACAGTGTAGGGAGGAAAAAAGTATGTGAACCTTTGGACTTAATAAACTGGTTGACCCTCCTTTGGCAGCAATAACCTCAAACCAAACGTTTCCTGTAGTTGCAGATCAGACCTGCACAACGATCTGGAGTCATGTTGGACCACTCCTCTTCACAAAACTGTTTCAGTGTAGCAATATTCTTGGGATGTCTGTTGTGAATCGCTCTCTTAAGGTCATGCCACAGCATTTCAATGGGGTTGAGGTCAGGACTCTGACTGGGTCACTCCAGAAAAAGGCGTATTCTGTGCTGTTGCAGCCATTGTTTTGTTGAATTACTTGTATGCTTTGAGTCATTGTCCATGTTGCATCACCCAATCCTCTGCGGAGGTTCAGTTGGTGACAGATGGTCGTTACGTTTTTCCTGCAAAATGTCTTGATAAACTCTGGAATTCATTTCCCATCAATGACAACAATCCGTCCAGGCCCCAAGGCAGCAAAGCAGCCCCAAACCATGATGCTTCCCTCTGCCATGTTCACAGTGGGGATGAGGTTTTGATGTTGGTGTGCTGAGCCCTTTTTTTCTCCACACATAGTGTTGTGTGTTGTCTTACCCAAAACAACTCAATCTTGTTTCATCTGTCCACAGTTATTCTGCAGTAGTGCTGGGAACATCCAGGTGCTCTTTTTGCAAACTTCAAACGTGCTGCAATCTTCTTTTTGGACAGCAATGGCTTCCTCCGTGGTGTCCTCCCATGTACTCCATTCTGCTTTAATGTTTTCCTTATTGTAGATGTGTCAACAAAAATGTTTAGCGATGTGCCAGAGATTTCTGTAGGTCTTTAGCTGACACTAATCTTGGGATTCTTCTTTACCTTCATGCAGCATTCTGCGCTGTGCTCTTGCAGTCATTTTTACAGGACGACCACGCCTAGGGAGAGTAGCAACAGTGCTAAACTTTCTCCATTTGTAGGACAGTCTGTCTTACCGTGGACACATGACATCAAGGCTCAAGGAGATACTTTTGTTAACCCTTTCCAGCTTCATGCAAGTCAACAATTCTTGATGGTAGGTCTTCTCTGAGAGCTCGTTTCCCTGCGAGAGGCATGGTTCACATCAGACAGTGCTTCTGAAACCAGTAAACCCAAAACAGTGTGTGTTTTTTTAAGGGCAGGAGAGCCGTCAGCAACACATCCAATATCATCACACTGATTGGAGTCAAGGTTGGCTCACTCCTGCTCCAATTAGCTCTGGGAGTAAGTCATTAAGCTAGGGCCTCACATACTTTTTCCTCCCTGTACTGTGAATGTTTACATGTTATGTTCAATTAAACCATGGCAACATCTAATGTTTGTGTAGTATTATGGTTTCAGCAGACTGTGTTCTTCTATTGTTGAGACTTAGATGACGTCAGAGCACATTTATGCCCAATTCATGCAAAACTCCACGTAATCCCAAGGGGTTCACATACGTTTCTTGCAACTGTAAATAATGAATGGGATCAGCAGACAGTGTGAGGCCCAAATCTAGCATTGCTAGTGATTGGACTGGAGGATTTTATCTGATGTTATATTTATCTCTGCTGATAAGAGCTCTGTACTCATAGGAAGTAGCAGAGGAGATTTCACACCTTAAATATAACAGATGTGCAGTAATGGGGAAGACACAGTTGGTTGATGAGTGTAGTAATAAGGATAACTTCTGATGGACTAAAACTAACAATCATATTTGAGGAAGGTATTAAGCGGAGTTCCAGCTCGCCTCCACCCCCCCTAAAGCCCCCCCCCCCCCCCCCCCCCACCCCCTCCTAAAAAAAAAAATATAAAACATTTGGATAATTGGGCGCACTAAACCTGTTCCATGGATCCTGCAGTGTCCTCACCCCATGCTGATTCTTCAATTGCTGTATGGGTGCTGGCGCAGCAATCTTGGACTAAGGGGAAACCATGCAGTAAAGCCTTGTGACATCACATCCGTTTCCTACTGTGCAAAGCGTGCACTGTAGCTTTGTGAATGGACCGCAGTCCTCTGGGCCTGTGTAGTGTCCCCAGAAGGGCTGCAGGGGACCGAACATCTACCTCCGTTCACAGAGGCAAACTGAGCTGGGAAGTGGGAGTGTGTACCCGTTCAAAACCAGGTAACCCGCTCCCTCCCAAAAGGTTGCCACATGCGGCAGCGCGAGGGGAGAGAGGAGACAGTATGAAGCGGAGCTTCCACTTTTGGGTGAAACTCAGCTTTAAAAGAAAACACAATTTCAAGATGACTGATAACAGTGTGATAAGATCCAAGAATGAGCCAGTTGGGATTGGCTGTTTTAAAGATTTAATTTTATATATTACACTATCATCTCTTCCTTTTATGTGGTTTAGATATAAAACTGTCCCAGAATATGATTGTCTCAGTCATGTCCTGTTTATACTCACCGTAATCCCTCTATCCGGCTTGTTGTCAGAGCCGCCATCAGATCCCCTGAAATGAGGACCCTCCAGATTGTTCCCAGACAGGTCCAGTGCCCTCAGTGTCGGGTTATTTCTTATTCTCCAGATGCCAGGTGGGGGCAGGACTGTCTGTCAGGTCATTATAGGACAATCTGTAGAAGAAGAGAAGAATGTTACCAGAAGGAAATGAATTCCCCCCCAGGAATGAATGGAACTATTCTCATACATGGATGGAACTCATTTCTCTTTATTGGAATCATTTATTATTTCCATCACTTTATAAATCTTCCAGGAAGAAAGAATTTTATAATGTACAAATGTTATAATGGAGTAGACCCCCCCAATATTGTCCTCCACGTGTAGTAGACGGTGATATCTCCATACACAGGATGAGCACAGAATACCACTTGACATGACTCGTATTGTGTGCTTTCGGCTGCTGCAGGAGGAAAATAAAGCCAGCATAAGGCTGCTTAGGAAGCTGCCTTAGGGCTCCAGGGTAGGGTCTGTGCTGTTGCCCCTCAAATTTTGTTATTTAACTGTGCATTGTATCACCAATTTCTTATTTCACCATGGTTGTTTCTATGTCCTGGAATCTGTTGCGGCTGCATCTGCTGGCCAGACATTTGCATGCTGCATTGCCTCTGTTTTATTAGCTAGTAAAGTATTTTTCCTATGCTAGGCGTGGTTTTATGCAAGCCTTGGGTCTCTGGTCACTATCCTGCTAGCCATTTTATCTTGGCTAATATAGCTGTGTGACAGGACATTCAATACCCTGGGCTTGTGAATGGGCAGTCAGGTTTTTGACCAGCAAGTTAAGCATAAAGAAGGAAAGATATCCGCAGGACATCATCAATAACTCTACTACCTTACAGTATTGTTATCACTGTTTGTCGGCTGTAATTTGGACCAAATAAACCCACGCTGAATTTCATTCCCGTGTAAAAAAAAACAAAAATAATATACCAGTTATTATATTTTTTTTTTGGATCCATCTAACCTGAACATCTGCCGGGTCCGGTCTGCTCCATGCTTGGATACGGAAGGTAAGAAAGTTACACAGCCATTATTAGATATACCTTCATTCGCCTTCAATGTTGGGACTAGAACAAGTCAAAAACTGCCCTTAAAGTCCATACCCCCCCCGCTTACAGATTCCCTCAGGAGTCCAGTACCACTCTCAGGAATCTCCCTGAGCAAACAGGCCCAACTTTGTGCAGCAAATCTGCACGGCTTACAGTGACATGTTCCACAAGCGGCTTATGCGGAAGCAACTGTCACCATACGCAGTATCTATTAAACTCTCGCCTGGAAGTCACTCCAAGCCATTCCTAAATGCGTCCCTTACTATTAACTTTTGCTGCGCATAATAGAATGTCAACTGTTTATGCTCGTTCCTTACACGTGCCGTGGGCCGTCCGCTAAAAACCCCGCAAATTTCATTCTAAATATCTTAGAGAATTTGTCAAGGTCAAGGTGTCCCTATCGGAGCTGTACTGCGGATTTTCAGCCCCCAATTCAAAAAGTTTACGATTTTCTAAAAGAGGACAGCGCACACTTAAGACCAAAAATGGCCGAAAAGGACGTTTGCACAGTTCCCCAGTGATGATTAAATAAAGCAAATGCAACCTGATACTGATCATCATGAAGGGCAGGAACAGAATCCACACTTTGTCAGCATCAGAACAAGTCGTGCGACCAAGACGCTCTCTTCAAACGACGGGAAAAAAGG